AAAATTATAATTAAATTAATTGAAAAGTTTATTATGTTGATTGTAAAAGAACAACGAAAATTCTTATTTATTCAATTGGTTTCAAATATTATTATATTAGTAAAACCCTTTTAAATATTTTTTAAAAAGTAATAAATTTATTGTAAAATATATTATTATAATTAAAATGAAAATCAAATTCTATTAAAGAGTTTATTTATAAAAAGTGTTTTTAAAACAAATTTTATTCTCAGAAAAATTTTAGTTTAAAATATTCTATTTATTTAATCCTTATTTTTACCAATGGTAACAAGTAGTAAAGAATTAAGCAAATGTAAAAATCAATATTAACACTGTTTATTCGTTTAAGCATTATATATTTTGAGTTATATGGTAACAACCAATTTTTGTAAAAGAATTAGTTAATCAATTTAAAAAATAACCAACTAGTATAAATAGTTGAAATACATTAAAAATAGATTTTAAACAATCTTTTGATAGTTTTAAACCTCTTTTTAATGTTTTAAATTTTTTAAAAAAAAATCATTATAACTGCTTTTTTAATTATTATTCTATCTTTAATTAAATATAATTATATTATGTTTTTTTAAATATATAATATAGAACGTTAAAAAGATAATGTTTTGTATCTGATAATTTATATTCTTTATAGTTAAAAGTGTTTAAAAATTGTAAATATAAATAAAGTTTACAATAAATCTTAAGCATTAGTTTTATACAATAAAATAAACTTAATTATGATGAATTTAATAAAGATCAGATTTTTTAGTTTATAATTTAAAAAATTCAATTTATTAATTTAAAATATAAAAGAAGAAACTTTTAGATTAATTATTAATGTTAAAAATTAATTTTAATCTTAAGTGTTTTATACGCTTAAATTATTAACATTAAATACAATCAAATAGCTTTTTATTAATTGATTCGTGTGATTTATAAAATTTAAATAAAAAATAATAGACACTCTAAACTTGGTTTAGATATAATAGAAACAGTTTTTACGGGATGTACCGTGAGTTTATTCTTAGGTTAAAAGTTTTAAAAATAAAAGTCAACGAAACTTTTGACATTTCAGTATCAATAAGTATAATTGATCAATATATTTGTTAATTCCACTTTACCTTTAAGTATATTGTCGTATTCTACATGACCGTGTTGCTTGGTTAAAATAAAATGTTTATGTTTAAACATCATTTATTTTGCAAAATTATTTATATAGTAATTCTGAAACCTGCTTTAGAAACCGGCTTCATAAATATTAGTGAGTAAGATACATATAACATTAGACTCTAAACCTAAAAATGGTTAAAATACTATTTGAATAAGAAATGATTGTAATTACACGTATTGTATTCTAGAAGCAAAGAAAAAGATAAAACCATGTCTTTGTTGATAAAGTGAGATTTTCGGTGGTGACTCACAAGTAGAGATAGATCATTTATAGGTTCAACTCACTGTTCCTGTTGTCAAAGCAGAAGTATTTCT